GTATTGTATTTGCATAGGCATAATGATGAAATTTCCTTGTAAAGTGCTTAGAGTTTAGAGATGATTTTAGTGTTTAAGTGATTAGTTGTTTGATGCATCATAAGAAAGCTAGAAGTTAAGACTGAACCATGCTTAGAATGCTAATTTTGATCATCTCATTTCATACTGAAAGCATTTGTTCTCTGAAAATCAACTCTATTAACTTGAACTTTAATTTGGACTTTTAATTATCATGTCTTATGCATTGAAAAATGAATTCATGGCTACCATATACATATTTGGATCATCTTTTTCTTTTTTACCACTCTTGTTGATCCAAATAGCTGATTCTCATACTTATGGGACAGTTCATCCACTCCCTTAACCAAAACCTCCTTTTGAGCCTAAACACTATCTTGAGATCTGTGAGGCCTTTGCATATCATTTTCGATTTTTTCTTGGCAAAAAGTGTTAGGAATAAGGCTGGCAATAATAAGCTCTCTTGTAGATATCAGCTTGCATCTTGAGATTGATTCTAGGTTAGGAGTTTTGGGTTAAAATGGTAGTGTTAAGTGGTTTGAACTTCATGTATATATGTTTTGAAAGAAAAGGAAAAAGTTTGAAATGGTAGAAAAGGGAAAACAGTTTAGCATTATGGTTAAGTAAATGGAAGTAAAAGCTTTGAGTGTTTAGAAAGAATGGCGCCAACAGCTTAAAGGTTTTGAAGGGTCAATCCATAGAAGAAATCAGACCCAAAACAATCCACCAAAGGTGAAGAAGGTGCCAATGCAACAAAGAAGAGCAAGTCCCAACGAAAAAGAAGCAACCACACAAGCACAAAGAAGAAGTTTCCCCAGCCATGAAGAAGAGTAAAGGGTAGAGTTTAGGAAAAGGGTAGACTTAGGGGCTCACTTTTGGGTTTAGAAATGTTTAGGATACATCTTTGGGTAGAAGGGAGCTTTGAATTGCATGCATAAGTGTGCTTTTACCTTTAGCATTTTGCATAAGATAGAATCATTTTCATTGAGTGATCCCTTCTGTTTGAAAACCCTTTGCTTGAATCAGATCATTTTTATCTCATAATCTTACCCTTTGAACACAATGTCTTCACTTGATTTGCATAAGCATGATTCATGGTTTTGAGCTTAATTGAATGTTAAAGAGTTGATTGATTTGAGCATTTGCCTAAGTTGAGATTTGAGATCATTTTGAAACATGATGAGCATGGCTAGGTTCTTTAAAGTATAGATGATTATGTTTGCATCCCACAACTAGGCCTTTAAGCATTGATACCATCTCTTTACCTTTGCACTTTTGGATTTGAATGCCCACCTTCAAACCTCACTCTCTCATTTGTTTTTATTTGCTTGAGGACAGGCAAAATGCAAGTGTGGGAGTGTTGATATCTCTTGTATTTACACCATTTAGGCTTGCATTTAGTATATGTTTTGGTTCTCTTTTGCATGTTTTCCTTATCTTTTGTCACATTTTCTTCTCTTTTTAGACTTAGGTTGCATTTAGGACATAGTTTGCATTTTCTATGAATTATGGATGTTTTTAGGTACCTATGGAGCTAAGAGGAGCATTGGAGAAGCTTTGGGGATGATCCAGGAAGCTAGCTGGGCCAAGAGGAGCAAAAGGGACCAAGGCAGACGATCTCTGCAGAGCCTATCGATCAAAGCACAAGACCTATCGGTCAAGGAGTGACCGATAAGATTCCTATCGGTTAGTGAAGTGACCGATAGCAGTGCACCGTTTATATTTCGGTCACCCTATCGGTCAGCTTCCAGACCGATAGGATCCCTATCGGTCACAACTGACTTATAGTAACCCAGTCCGAGCCTGTATTTTATTACACTTTTGCCATTACTTTAGGACTTCCTTCTTTTATGTATAAATACCCTTTTTCTGAGATTTTCGAGAAGTCATCTCATAACACTGTTCTTGAGTTTATTTTATGGGTTTGTAAGACAAATTTCTTGTTTTATTTAATATAAGGTTGTATTTGCCATTAATCATTCTATAATCTCTCTTCTAATCATGATTAACATCTTTTCCTCTTGTGATTTGGTGTTAAACATGAGTATTAGTGAGTAGTTTGCTTATGGTTCTTAGATGTGGTAGATTAAGGGGATTTAGGGATTGATTAAGGTTTGTTTAGTGTTTAATTTCATGGTTTCTTTTCTATTAATCTGTTTTTAAGCTAGATTTGTCTTGATCACACTTATCTAGAATTTAGGCTTTCTCTTATGCCCACCAAGTGTTTGATGAAATGCTGATCTTGTTTAATAGAGGATTTGTTGGCCTTGGCTCAAGAGACTGACGGTTTGAGGAGCATTTTGACATGAATAGAGTTGACTGTTATTGCTTGCTGAATGTTTTAGCACTAATGAGAGTTAGTGCTTGTTAAGATGTTTAGCAAAGGGCCATTTTACAAGAGATTGGACTTAGTTTGCTTGTTTGTGAACTCTATGTTTAGGAACCACCATTGCTAGCTTGTTTGCTTGATCAATGCTGTTTGAAACAATCATAGTTAGTCTCTAGATTCCCAAAATTAATAACCACATCTAGGAACTTGCTTTCTCTTTATTGAATTTCGAATTTGTTAAGTACTCTGTTTATTTTGCTCTGTTTTACTTACTTGATCATAGCTAAATTGTCTTCTTTTGAATTCTATTTGGTGATTGATCATTCTAGGGTGTTAGATAAGTTGTTTAGGCAACAAAAATATCTCTTTGTTTTGCTTGACTTAAGGATTCCTACTCACAACTCTTTTGCTTTCAACTAGAGTCATTGGATTGACATAAAACCTTTTGCTATGCTACAACTGATTTACATATATGGGTGATTGACTAAGAGCCTAAAAAACTTTGTATCAGTAATATTTAGGTATGCGATAATTATTTATATATGTAGATGTTTAATAACATATATACGTATATATTGTTATTTATAGTGTGCTATTGAGTTATGTAACATTACCATCATGGATTTATACAGATCTGGGGAAGGGAAGGACTATTGATTCTCCAGCGGATTATTTATAGAGTGCTATTAATTTATACAGATCTGAACGAATGGGGGAGGGGTAAGACTCTCCGGCGAAGGAGGATCATCGGAGGAGGGAGATTGGTGGGGTGTATTGCTGCAGTTGTAGAAGGATTTGGAGATGGTGGCGTAGAAAAAAGGATTAAGAGGAGAAGAATACGAGAGGATATGACGATAATGATAGGATATGAGGATAAAGATAAGAAAGAAAAAAAATAACAAATCTTCTTAAAAAATCAAATATTTTGATCTAAAGAATTGAGTGTGCGAGGACAATATTGACTATATTGGTGGTTGAATATTTTCATGTTTAGAAGTTTAAATACATTTTGTCAATTACTCAATTGGCTACGAGTCTTATGCTAGTTATCTAATTATCTTTTTATTATTAAATTAAAATATTTTAGTTCTCATTTAACTCAAAAAAAAAAACAAAAACACAACATTGCCTCTGATAAATCAATGGTGACAACTGACGACAACAGATTAAAAATCTGAATTCTAATCTATGATTAGACAAGCAAGCGAAATTACAAAGAAAAATACTATATAATTTTTAAAATCTTTATAAAAATTCCTCTTTCTAAATACCAAAACTTTCTTAGGAGAAAAATATAAATAAATGAAATTAAAATATATATATAATTATATTTGATACAAACTTAACTTCGGATTCATGGGAGAATCCGAAATGATACAAAATCCTAAACAAATCAAAAGAAGCATAACTGAGATAACGATAAGAGAAAACACATACTGATCCTATCAAATGTGTTTCTTCAGAAGCCTGAATTTCAATACACGCGGATTCATGAATTCAAATTTGTGCAATCTGAAAGTTTTTGGGATATTTCCGGTTAGAGAGACCAGACTTGACGTTGATAACATTGAATCTCAGGAGATTCAACGATCATATTTTAACTCAGAAGCATAGTTTCTGCTCTTCTAATAAAAATGATAAGAAAACTAAAAATGTTATAATTTTATTATTTTTATTTGTTTTTTTCTGTTTTATCCTTTAAAAAGGTGTCCTTATATTTTAGGAAGACAATTATTTATGTATATAAATGTTTCCTAAATATATCCATATTTTATTTTAAGTAAATAATTTCTTAAATTTTTTAATGATATTATATTTTATTGGTTACATAGTTTCAACTTTCGTAACTTTGAGTTGTTCAAATTTGGGATTCGATTCGAAGTGCACAAAAATGCATGACAATCTCCTGAAAGAACAATGGCAACCAATCTAAATAAAAGCAAACTTAAAACATAAAACTAAAGAATTCATCATTTTCTACAACATATATTCAGGTAAACCTACTTTTGTTTTCTTTAATGTTTAGCTAAAAAATTAAAATACCTTCAAGCAAAGCTTCAGTCACCCAAACATGGCTGCTTTTCACACAGCTTTGTATTTGGAAAGATCTCGTAAGTTTTATTCGTTTAATTTTATTAGCTGTTGACAGCTTTGGGAGACGAAGATGTCAACGGCACAGCTACTACAGTCTGTGAACTGCGATTTAGGAGATGGGACATGGAAAGAGACATCTTGTCTTATTACCCAAAAAGCCCTGACCTCATTAGAAGTTTTAGAACAATGTTTCAATGGTCCGGACTTGATTGGTAAGTCTTGTAAAATCTATACACAATCATAATTTTTATTTTTTTAAAGCGTTAAATTTTTTTCAATCATACTTTACAAAAAATTTTTAAAATTATAGATATTTCTTTTCTTTTTAAATTTTTTTTGCTGTAAAAAGCAAAATATGTAAAGGAAAAAATTTGGACTTTGAAAAATTAATAATCCTACAACACTATAATCTACAGAATTAAAATCTACAGCCACAGCAAAAAACTTACAGATTTATTTCTACAACAAAAAAATTAAAGCTACAACAGTAACCAATCAAACCGGAATCCATACTTTTATTATCAACTAACAAAAGGTTGTGTCTTAACACAAAGACCCAAGTCGTCACGAGATAAAGAGGATATGAGAAACAAGTTTTAATTGAACCATTAAATATAGTCTTTATCAACCGTAACATGTGAAAAAGGTTAAACCAGAGGCCTTTGAGGCTGTTTTGTATCAATAATTGTGTTGAATCAATTGATTGACCCTTTTGAAAACCAATATTCATTTCTTATGGATCAAATAACACAAAACCAACATCCACAAATGCAAGGCAAAAATTGTGTTTCCTCTAATATCAAAACTACATTCAATCAGATCCAACTATGAAATCCGCAGATTCCTTCATTGTCTTTCTCGCGCGCCAATACACACCATTGGACGTCTCTGACGTTCCCATCTGCAATAAACAACCAGAAAAGCCATGGCCCATTAGAGTTCTTCACATTTAAGTTCCTAGTTTGCGTATTAGCCATGATGTTAAGAATCCGCTTTACCTTTGTCTCCAACGAGTAGTAAGCCTTCCACAAGTCCACGTCTTGACTGTAACTTGTAACAGCAGAATCGTAAAGCTTTCTGGCATTTCTGAGACCATCTTTATCACCTAGTGACGCAAGGTTGGTCTCTATCTCAATGCAGTCTTTGTATAGTGCAAGACCCGGACGGGGAAGAGCCAAGAACCTGCGAATTTTAGGGCAAACAGTGGTGAGAATAACGTGGCATGGGTGGTGACTCAAGGGAAAAGGAGTAGTAGTGATTCACCTCTTGTATATCTCCCTTGCACTACGGCTCCCTTCTCTTTCAAGAACAAGTTTTACCACTGCGGAAGCGAGAGAAAACGCATGGTCGCTCCCATTATTACCTTTGGCTACCGTTAGGATGGACAACTCTACAAGCTTGTTCAAATAATTCTTCTGGTGAGCAAAGAACTTAAAAGCCTGTGATACAATTAAGCATTTTTGTTAGTTGAGTCGTATTATATACCAACAAAATAGGTTATTGTCAAAGAAAATCTATTAATCACAACATACCGTAAGCCACAAGCTCTCAGATTCTGAGATCGGTACTTTCGCCACTGCATTTGAAAGGAGCTCAAAGACGGACTTCAAATCTGCTTTACTAGGAGTAGAGAGTGAGCTTGTTTCAATGGAAACTCTTGAAAGCCATAACTTAGCTGATCCCGCAAACTTTCCAGAGCAAAGTTTTTCTGCTACCATCTGAGCTTCATGGGTTTTTCCCAGTTTCAGGTACAGAGAAACGTATTCATTAGCAAGCTCCTCGGTCAAACACTCGGTTTCATCAGCCATTTGGAACACATTTAGGAGATGTGAAATGCAGTCTTCAGAGGAAGGGGAAACTTCACCATCGTCGCCATTAGACCGTTCAGTAGCTTCCATCAAAAACTTTATATACATCTCAAACATAGCGCTTGTGGTAACAGTTTGTACGCCCTCTTCAAAAACCTGCATTCAGGAGTCAAGATTTAAAAACCTATCAGGTATTGTACTTTCTACTAGAGTAAGCCTAAACAGAATGTGCTAGTGTAAAGATAGAACATTCCTAGAAACAGATCCCTCCATCACCAATGTTCCTCATATAAGCATACAGATAAGTCAAGGCGAGTTTTACCTGAATGGCCTTTTGCACTTGAGGACTCGCAAACTTTAAGCCCGTCTCTTTGCTGATACAACCACTCATTTCATGTCTTGCAAGCCAATTCCAGTATTCAGGGTCCTTGGAAAAATCACGCTTCAGGTCACTTAGAATAGTATCGCGGATTTCATCTGAGTGGGCCAAATCTGTTGCCTCTAGAATCTCCAAGAAACGCTTCCTCAAGTCGAAACTAGATGGAAGAGCCTCGATGGCTCCACTATAAATGGCCTGAAGCACATTAGATCCCTTTTCCCGAAAGACATCAACTTTCTCACTCGCATCCTCAACATCAGAGCCGTCGTCTTCTCCTCCCTCATCCAGCGACATAAACAGCTCTTTGTTTTCGTCTTTCCACTTCTCATCCTCGACGGTTTTATCGTCACGCACCAAACTTCCTTTCTCTTCACCAAGGGCAACTCTACGAGCTTTCAGCTTGTTAAGGTAAGTGAGTTCCATCCGCAGATACTCCACCCACAAGTCTAGAGAGCTTGAACACACTCTCAAGCCTCTCTGCATCAGAGCACGAGCTGAGGCAACATTCAAGTTTCGATCAAACTCCCACACCGCAGCATATATCCACACTCGAGCTTCTTTAGAGTGAAGTCTTATAACTTGAGCCAAGACCTACACATGTACAAGATAAAGATTACTCATTTCTGAAACATACCCAACAAAGTAGCGAAAAGGGATCAAATTCGAAAGATTTTTACCTCTTTCATTCTGCGATTACACTTGTGTTTGCAGAATTCGAGATACTTAAACCATAGATTGAGATCCCCTTTATACCTCCTTGTCGCAAGCCTATACACCTCCACAATCTTGCGTACGCCGGCGAAATCAGAATCCGACTTCTTCTTCTTCTTATCAGCCTGATGCGACGCCGCCTTCTTCCGCAGGTTTCGGAGCTCATCAAGGTTAGACTCGTAGTCAATGTAGGCCAAAAAATCCTCTTTCAGAGGGCTCGGACGCTTAAGCCGGTACTCGAACTTACGGCGCTGCTTAACGATCTCTGCAATCTCTACACGAGTGAAGATTCCTCTGCGTTCTAGGTCATCAAGCTCGTCGACCATCCGCTCGAGGCGGTACTGAACAACGTCCGCCATTGCTGCTGCTAGTTGCTAATTCGTTCCGGCGGGGATTGCAAGCAAATAGGGCAACGCTTAATAGTCGTTTCAATTAATGGGCCGTAATAAGAAAACCCAATTTGTTATAATAATAAGGCCCAATTTTAACTGTTGCTAAAGCTATCAGAGCAATGGGGAGCTCCTAAGTCCTAAGCATCATTATTGGAAGTTGTTAGAGCATAAATATTAGGGAGCTGGGAAAGAAGTTCTTCAAAAAATTGTATTATTAAAAAGAATTGATCTTTTTTCAAAAAAAATTGATGAATCACGTCTCGTCACGTCACCGAAGTGTCGCTCCTACAGTCTCTTCACAGATAGACGATTCTACGCTTCAATCTCGCCACATCATTTTTTTTCTTTAGAGCTTCACAAAAGTTCTCTATTAATTATGTTCTTAAACCATCTCCAACGCAAGTATCTGAAGAGGTATATAAAATTAAAAATATATTAAAAATGTGATAAAGGAAGAGAGAGAATTTGGGACCGGTTTTCTTATTTTTCGTTTGAAAAACGACTCTAAGAAAAATGAGATACTTTGAATGGATGTGTTTTTGTGTGATTAGTTGATTTTATTTATCATTTAAATTAAATTTAATTATTAAATTATAATAATATAATATAAATGAGATACAGTTTTACTGTTAGAGATGCTTTTAGACCATCTTTATTGGTAGAACTTTAATTAGAGTACATTTTATAATATAAATTTTCTATTATCTTATTTTAGAAACTTTAGTAGTTAAGATTTTATTTTTCTCTTCTTCCATTAATAGAACCCCATTATGGATTAAGAATCATTGATGATGTACATGACAAAGAACGGGTTTGAATGGACTAAACGTGGATGATGTAATTATGGATAATTATATTCTATTATTCTGAATCTTGTGTACAATTTAGTGTGGATAAAAAAGATACATACTCAATCAGTTAGCATATCAAAAGTCCTCAAAAAATCAAAACATGTTATGAGATGTTGTTAATAGATTTAGCCAAGATCGTACACACGAGATGAAATGCTGTAAGCATAGATATCTATACATACATTATGCTTGTTCTTGATTTAAATCATTTTCTTACACACAATTCTCTGCAGCTACATGCGTTACCTCTAAAACGCATATATAACTTGCAACGATCCATGGTAAGTATTCATCCTATGAAAAAAAAAATCGAATGAACTCCTGAAAACTTAAAATCAAGACAAAAATAGATACACAAGGATTTAAAACCTTTCCATCAGGAAAAGTCATGTGTTTAAGTTTCCTGGCTTCACTTGGTGTAGTGAAATAAGCTACAAAGGCAACTAACATAGAACGAAATCAAAATAACAAGTTTCATATCTGGAACAAGCAAAAAGGGAATCAGTTTTTGCGCATTGACACAGAAAAGTGGATGCAGAAAACATACAAGATAAAAAATGTACAAAAAAGCTATCGTATGACAATCGAATGAGTAGATAGATATGTAAAGATGGATACATAAAGATGGATGAGTTACAAAGGTTCTTTGATTTTGTTGTCAAATGTGAACGTGTACGAATATATAATGTCTGACCAAATGGATGCATGATGATGGATTAACTTTGCATAACCTTCACAAAGGTAAATGGTGTTTTTTGATTAACGCTAGTAAAAAAACAAAACGGAAAGTGGTTGGATTATTTTTTAATATCGAAGATCCTAAACCTCGATTTCAAAATTATGCGGGTTTGGATAGGAATTTCCTTCTATATTGGAGACTAAGTCGAGGCTTAAGATTGTAGGATGAGATCTGAAAAATCTGGGTTGTTGCCACTAAGGAAGTCCTCTGCTTTAAAATTACAAGGACGCTCCGACTGCCGGTGGGTAATTAGAAGCTGGTGCATGTTTGGTGAATGAAGACAATTTGGTTAATTAGCGACAGAACTTGAAGAACAACGATTTAAGTTTTATGATTTCGATTAGTTAGTCGAAGGAGCAGTATGTTTCTGATTTTTTAGGACTCTAGAGCTTGAGTTAAATACAAAGAAATGTAAGAAAGAAGATAACAAAATCTTTTCATCTATTGAAAGTGTATTAATACACTAAACATTCACGAGATTTAAGAAAGGGTTCGAGATCTGGTTCCCAGCTCATTGATGCTGATTGGTAATTTTGCGTAATGAAGGAATCACGTTTCCGCAAGAATTTTGCTAATTTAGAAAGCCTACAAAAAATACAAAAACGCGAGATCTGCAGAATCACGTTTTTGTTTATATACAATACAAAAAAAAATCTTCATTAAAGTGTGTTTTCAGTAGATTATTTGCAGAATCAATATTATATACTAAATGTACTGTCCGCACCTTGTGCGGACCAAATAATCTACTAATAAATTATTTAAGGTTTATTGTTCATCTTAAAGGAAAAATCCATAAAACAAAATGCTAGATATTATGAAATACTTCATTTTCAATTATTTTTCTTCTTCTCAATTTTCCTTATCCTCTCTTTCCCTTCTTTTCCACAATTTTTTTCTTTGCGTGCACATTTAAGATCAAATGCATTATCTAAATTATAAATCAACAAAAAAATTCAGCCCATCTTCTTAAAGATTAAATGCATCTTCTTTATCAATTTTCAAAACTAAAATATTTTATTTTTGATACAAAAGCATATAAATTTAGTCCTAAACATTGTAGTATAATTATTATTGACAAACAAAACTCAAATTTCATAATTAAGCTATGTTTTATTAGATTTTATACTAATAAATATTAACAATTATACAAATTTGAGTTTATAATAATTTGAATTTATATGTTTATTCTTCTTCTTCTCCCTCTCCCTTATTCTTCTTACTAGGTTATTAACTCTCGCTATGCGCGACTCTGCATTAATAGTTTGATTTAATTATTTTTAGTTACTATTTATAAACTTTTGAAAATATAAAAGTATATAGAAATTTTATTTTATATAAGAGAATTTAAAATACAATACGTAGTTTTCTTTAAATTTTTATTAAGTAAAATAATAACAACGACACCTGTCAAATTATCCAACTTCGACATGTATACACGTTTGATTTAGAGAAAAGTTTTCTTGCTAAGATCTTTTACCATAGGATTTTGATATTTTCTTTCTTTAAGATTTATATATTAAATATTTAATTTTTGATTGAATATCTCATTGATGTTGTATATCTATGCATATATATAATTCATGATTCACATTTAGTTTTGTTAGAAAATTGCAATGATCCTCCAAAGTCGTTTCTTGCTTTTCCACCAGGTCTTCCACGTGTTTCAACTTATATCTTTATTCATTTTATCATTGAGATTTTTATTTTTTTTTGCAGTCTAATATTTGATAATTTTGGATTTAAAACTTTTAGGATTAGTGGTGTGGAGTTTTCGAATTACTTTTCGCTGTTTTTATCTTTTGTGTGCTTTCTGCATATTTTGATTTGAATATTTTATCTAGATATATCAATCTGAGTTTGATTCATAACTCTGTCATAATTAATTATTTAAATATAATTTTAGAAGGTTTTTTTCATGTGTTGTTAATGTTGGTTCATATAGTAGCTATGTATAAAAATCAGTTTACTGCTTGTTAAATTTCGAGTGTAAAGTTATTTATGTAGATTTTTTTTTTTGTTAGTGTTAAATCAGAAGCATCCAGTGTATTAATCTTTGTATATTTAAAGATTATGTTTGATTTAACATTCTATGTAAACCTATTGCTACTTTATATAATTATTCATTATCAATACTATATAATATTTCAGAAATCAAATACTTTCCATCTTTTGATAATAAATTTAGATTTTATTTTAATTTATACATTTGATTTGTATATTTGATATACTTAGGTCTTATATTTTTTTATGATTAAGCTTTTTTGTTGTTGATTCTCAAAATAGGTAGCATATGTATCACGTTAATTTCTTTTACTCCAATGCTCTTTCTTTTTTACGTTTGCTATTTTAATATTAATTTTCATTTTAGTTATAATATTGATTTGAGACATTATAACTGTTCATTATAAATTTTAAGTCGACTTCTCTCAAAATATTACTGCAATAATAGTTTTTTTTACATTAAGTTTTTTTTTGTTGATTATATTAGCCTAAATGTCACATTAGTTTTCTTATTTGGCTTTTTTCCTTTGTTAATTTATCTTTTTGTATTGATTCCAATTTGTATTGAAAATTATTTGTTTTGTAAATATTGATATTTTTGCAGACATAATTTTCTCTCTTTTCTGTTAATGAGACTTTTTATATTGATTTATTAAATAGTTAACATATAAATCTAGTGAATTTGTTTTAGATAATGTTTTAAAAAATATATAAATCTTTTTCCGATATTAATTTTGATTTTAACTGTATTAACATTTTGTAAAACATAATTTATCTTTTATTTGTTTTTATTCATTTTTATATTAATTTCTTAAATAGTTATTTTAAAGCTATCTTTTTATACTGATTTTTTAAGTTTATATGTTAAATATTTTTAAATAAATTAATCAGTTAAAGTGTATATTTTTAAAACATTCTTGTGCTTATTTAACTTTAATTGTTATTGATTTATATTTTTGTTTCGTCTGTTAGTTTAGATTTTTGTGACATTGAGTTTCTATTTTATTTTGACAAACGCTATAGATTTAGATTTTTGAAATAACTTTATTTTATATGTTTTGTTAGTTAAACTTTTTTTTATCTTAATTTTCCATTATACTATGATAATTATCTATTTTTGTGTGTCTGAATTTATTTTTATTAATCATATTTAATATTTTGTGTTTAATACAAAATATTGATGTTGACTAATCATATTGAATTTCTTCATCCAATGTGAACGCTCAATGACCAAAATTTTCAACTTTCACATAATATAGTTTTTTATTCTAATATGATACTTTTTGTTTTTTTATATATTTTAATTTATTTAAGCTTCTAATCAACTTTTTGTGTTTTAATGATCAATCAGATTGAGTTTTTTCGTCCCAATTGAACATTAATATTTTTGATGAATTTATTTAAATTACTAATTTAAAATATATATGTTAATTTTTTTTTGTTAATTTAACTATTTTGTTATTGATTTACATATTTATTTTTTTGTTAATTTTGCTTT